GAGGGCTACCTTGTTCCCTTCATTCTGAGGACCAGGTCTCCTAGGTGACTGTCTCCAGTCTCTAATGGTACAATCATCGTGCCCACCAGTTCAAACCATTCCTATGAGCCAGAAGATCTTATTTCAGGACTCCCGGAGCAGCCAGCTCCTTCATATTGCCACTGCCTCCACTCCAAACCTCCCAGCAGGGATGAGCTGTCCCCACCCCAAGTACAAAGATGACTCTCAGTTCCAACTCTTTTCTTCCCCTTACAGTCCCAGAAGCAAGTGCACAGACTTGATTTTCCTAAGGATTTTTATTGATAGTCACCAGGGAAACCCACACTGTCCAATGGAAGAATAGAGCCAGAGCCTAGCACATCTTCATCCAAAGATCACTGAATCTTGGGGTCATTTCTTTGCCTGATTTTCCTCAGGCTCCAACTTCATCCTGGTTTACAGCCCCTTCAGTTCCGTGTTCTGTAGGAGGTTGGGAGTAGGATCCGCCACTGAGCGTTCATGGGCTGTCTCCTCAGGTTGGGGAGGTAATCACTCCAACTCCTCTGCGACATTGTAATCTCCCCACATGAGAGTCTCCTCACCTATATGACTTTCCCTTCTCTTCTACAGGGAAATCCTATGGGGGAAGACAAGAACCCAATAGGTTCTAGAAGTAGGTCTCTAGATGTCCAATGGGTAAGACTCACTGGTAAGTAGGAAGACATCTAGATATTGCTACTCTTGGATGCTATATTTTTCAGAAATCATGACTATCCAGATGCTTGGGGAAATCATTACCCTCCCTTCCTTTATTCTGTTTGTTATTGACCTTTTTGATTGTTTGTTTAATCACTACAGCAGAGATGGGAAGCACAGGGTGTGAGAGGCCCAGTGGGAGATGTTATTTCACAGAGCTATGCAGAGCTGCAGAGCTACACACAGAAACGCTGAGTCACAAGCCTAAGCATGACGCTCAGTTACACACAGAAACATGGGCTTAAAAGGCCAAACACAGGGTAGGACTTGGCAGCAGCAATGGTGGGAACTGTTGCCCTAGAAATAGAGGGAATGTGCAGAGGGGGCCTCTGGGAAGGCAGCGAGAGAGGAGCCTGCTGTCTGATGCTTTTGGAGCCTTCCCCCACCATTTTCCTACCCACCCTCGACTCCCCAGGGGGCTGGAATCACAGCTGGGGCTGGCTACAGATGTTCCCAAATGTCTGCTCCCCCTGTTAGAAGAAAAAGGAACAGACAGGTCATTAGAAAGAGGACTTTGTCTCCCACTTTCCTTTTATTTGGATCTGATTCTCCAATCCCAGACCATCTCCTAGAGGCCAATGCATCCCTCAGGCCAGAGCAACCACCTGTAGGCCTTGCTCCCACCCCTAACCTCCCCTATACACTGACTCCTGTGAAGAACATGTCACCCCAATAGCCTGAAAACAGATCTCTCAAAAATGTTTTGTCTCCACCCACTGAGTGGAGAAGATGGTAGAGTTCAACTGTGGGGAGCCAAGAGGACTCAGGTGAAGGGCCACTCACCATGCCTGGAGAGGGAGCCAGCTGCCCCTTCCTCTCCAGCATGCTTAGCTTTGAGCCCACCGCATCAACCTGGGCCAGGACTCCTTCCAGGACAGACTCCAGCTGTAGAACTCTCCTTGTGAGCCTGTTCAGGATTTGAGAGAGACCAAGGAAGTAGAAATATGTGCTTGGGGGATTGAGTGTCTGCAGGGGAAGGAGAACAGAATGGTGTGTGTCTAGCTGGAAGAAAAGAAGGTAAGACCCAGCCTTTAGGGAGAATTAAATGGGGGAAGAAGTTCTTCCTAGGCTAGGACAGAGGATTAGAAGGTTGTGAAAGAAGTTCAAGGTAGGATATTTAAACACAGTCAGCCCTCAGTCCCTGGCTGCACGTACGTGTAGAATTCTTCTCCTGAAACCCAGTCACCTGCTCCGGTAGCCTCTGGACCCAATTTGCCTGGTGAACTCCTCACAATGGACCAGCCCAGGTTCTCAATTTCAGCATTGAGGGCCACCTGATCAGGAAGTCAGAGGTCAGAGAGGAGAAGATGACTCTGGGAAGCCATCAGCTCTGGTTCTAATTCGCTCTCAGGAACAGGCCTTGGGCTATAGTTCTTGCTATGCCCCTTCCCTCTCAAACTCTGGAGACAATGGAATCAGAGTAGTGGCACTGGACACAAAGCTGGCCCAACCTCTGGAAAGGCACAACCCAAAGAAACAAAACACAAGCTCCTTGAGGCCTTGATTAATGAGGTGTTCACTAGAGGCCAACTCAGTTTGGGAGAGGAGGGACAATACCAGAATTCCTCGTACTGCCCTTGACTTTTTGGTCTACACTAGAAAGGGATGAAGCAGGAATACCACTGACAGCTAAGGATAAGAGTTTGAAAAATCTCAAAAGAAGGAATCATCAGGGATTCTTGAGCAATTGGACCTTTCCCCCTACAGACTATTTTAGAGCAATAGTTCTCAACCTTGGCTATGCATTGGAATCACCAGGGAAGTTTTAAAAAGTACTGATTTCTGGGGTCCCCAACTTTCACACACACACAGTGATTCTGGTCTAGGGTGTGGCCTAAGTATAAAGATTTTTTTTTAAATCCTCACCCAAAGATATGTTTTTTATTGATTTTAGAGAGAGAGGAAG